TCAAACCGCCCACAAAAAGTCACTTTATTCGAATAAAGCAATGCACGGATCCCCATGTATCAACCCGAGATTACTATAAATAGCAGACCCATGACATTTGTACGGGGATCTCTCTCCGAACTGCAAAAACTTTACTAAGCAACACGTAAAAGCCCATCACGGTTTTTCACCTCGGTTCACCTCGGACCGAGGCCATTGTCGATTTAATCTTACATGCTTTACGTCCAACTCATTCAAAATTATCCACTTAATCACAAGTTACATCGTTGTTAAAAATCACATAACAACAAAACTCATTGCCCTTATTCCACCAAACTGACCACATATACTGGATATTTCTCTACACAGCCCTACAAGAAGTACAAAGAAAGACATGGTAAATACATGTAAAGCATTAAGTACAACTCGAATTAGAACCTCCTTACCTGCAGATGTCATCCATTTTTTCTTTCCATCTAAAAATCGTGTTTCTCACCACAGTTACAATATAGTCAAAAGCAACCCTTTTAGACTTCCAAATCCCTAAGGGAATTCCCAAATACCTGGTAGAGGAGTGGTTTGTGATGCCTCTCAACATTAACCAGACACTGTTCTGAATCTCCACAGATGAATTTTTTGCTAAAGAATACAGTAGATTTCTCCAAATTCACTTGTTGGCCAGTAAAATTCTAAAAAGCTTTCAAAATCTACAACAACTTACATGTTCGACTTCATCTTCTTTGCAGCTGCAAACATAAGATGAGTAAGAGTAGGTCCCTCTAGAAATCTTAGGCCCTTTAAACCTTTCTTTTTTTCTTCATCCTTGATCTTTGCAGAGAGTAGCTCAGAGATGATAATAAACAAATAAGGGGATAGAGGAACCCCTTGTTTGATTCCCCTTGAGGCTGACACATACCGTTGCATTTACCATTAGTGATGAAAGAAAAAGATGGAAACTGAATGCATGCCATGATCCATTTAATGAACAATCTATGAAAACCAATTCTAAGCATAGTCAAGTGGATAGCCTTCCATTCAACACATTCATATGCCTTCATGATATCCAGTTTCAATGCCATAAAACAATTCTTCACACTCTTGTGTCTATTCAAAAAGTGGAACATCTCATGCCTTATCACCACATTATCCATTAATTGTTTACCAGGCAAAAAGGCATTCTGATTCTCAGATATACAAGCATGAAGACACTCCCTCAATCTTAGTGCCAGAAAATTTGTAATGACTTTATAAAAGACAACACACAAACTGAATAGGCTAAAATTGAGTGGTAGAAACAGGATTAGGACATTTAGGTATCAATGTAATAAATGAATGTCTCAAGTACCTCAACATCTTTCCTGACTCAAAGAAGCTTTGTTCTGCAGTACAAATATCTTTCTTGACAATAGGCCAAAAATGCTGGTGGAAGAACCCTATCATCCCATCCTCCCTTGGTGCTTTCTCTGGATGAATGCTAAAGACAACTTGTTTGGTTGCATCCTCCTCCACAAGGGCTGTAAGAGTAGTATTCATCTCTGCAATTATTAAATTTGGGATGAGAGGCAAGAATTGATGGCCATTGCATGATCCTCTAGATGAGAAAAATTGGCCATAGTATCCATCAATACTCTTATCAATCTCTTCTTGGTCCTTGCTCAGAACTCCTCCTTCAGTCAACAGTTTATCTATAGAATTCATTTTCATCCTCTATGTTGTATAAGCATGAAAAATTTGAAGCTTTTATCACCCTCGTTTAACGACAAAGCCCTAGCCTTCTGCTTCCAGAACATCTCTTCATCCACATTGGCTTCATCCAGATCTTTCTTGGTCTTATCCCAAGTTTCCCAATGTTTGTCACCCCCTTCTTTTCTCATTTCTTCAAGCTGCAAGGTTAATTTTTCAATCTTCTGAACATTCTGAGAACGAAAATACTTACTCCACAATAGCAAAGTTTCTCTGGCTTTCTTAATTTTCTCCTTCAATTTGAACATAGGGGTGCCCTATACTGGTGTCTCCAAGCCTCTTTGACAACTGTTTGTACCCCTTCTTCGATGATCCATCTCTTATCAAATATAAACCGCCTCTTATGTCTGGTAATTCCTCCTTTTGAGTCCATGACAAACATACAATGGTCAGATGCACTCCTAAACCAACTATGAACTGAGTATTAGGGAATTTCAGAAGCCATTTTAAAGATACAAACACTCTATCCAACAGTTCCTCCACAAAACCTTCCCCAACTCTGTTATTTGCCCATGTGCTCTGTAATCTCTGAAGAGTTAACTCTTGAACACTCATTTAAGCCACAAAATTCTGGAATCCCCAAAAGCTGCTCACTGGCCTGCTATTCTCATTTTTTTTTTGTCTTCTGCCCTTAGCAGATCATTCCAGTCCTTAGCAAGCATGTGTACGTCATCCCATTATGCTCTTTCTTGAATAAGGATCTCCCACTGATTTGTCCTCTCCACCCTGCAAGTGCTGAGATAGAGGAAAATAGCCCAGTTCCAATCATCTAGACATTTTTCCTTGAATTGAACTGCTATATAGAAAGACTTGACATAAACTTATTTAACCTCCACCTCAGGCTTCCAACCTAACAAAAACCCCCACTGGCTTCTCTAGGTTCAACAATAAACTGATTATATATAAAGCCTAATCTAGTACAAACTTTGAAAGTAATTTTTTTTTTTGATTTTTTGACTTCAGAAAGAAAAATAAAATGAGGGTGATGGATAATCATGGCCTCCTTGATATGGGGAATTGTAGAGGGCCCACCCAGACCTCTATAGTTCCATTCCAGAGCTCTCATTGGCACCTTAAGGGCTCTTAAGGTTGACCCTTTCCACCTGTGTTGATGACTGTTTAGGTTTCTTGTCCAAGCTGAATGGGTGACTTCCCTTATCTTCTGAGTATCTGCAATGTCTTCCGGGTCTCTCTGTCTGTTGGTCAGCTTCTTTGTTGCCCCCATAATTTTTACACCTATGTCCTTGATGAGTCTCATTTCTTTCTGAAAAGTCCTTCGCCATGCTCTCCGAGGGTGTTCCGTAGTCACAAGTTCCTGTTGGAGCTGGTGCTCTTTACACCTTGCGGTAACAATAGATGTCCTTCTCTTTTCAAAGTCCATGTCATCAATTTGAGGAGTCTCTTCTACAATCACCCCCAACATTCTGCTCTTATGTGTTAAGTCAAAGATGGCTAACTCACATTTCCCAACCCCTGAGGACGCTCCTTCACCCATTTGAGAAGAACTGGAATCTACCTTTTAACCAGGAGTACCTTTTGCCCAGAGCTTTTTGTGACCCCATGAGAATCACTATTCGTTCTTGTATCATTTTCTCCATGTACCATGCCATTTGTGTTGGACTTGGATCTCTAGTTTGTCCTGAGGAAGAGCTATCGTTATGCCAGCCACGACTCTGTAGCCCTTCTGATGCTCTCAACCACTCCTCGTATTGACCTTCTTTAAGAGATTGGTTCTCCACATCTTCTACCCTCTGCCCACATCCTTTTTCAATATGACCCAGCTTCTCACAGTAAAAGCATATGTTGACCAGCCTTTCATACTTGAATGTAACCGAGGGACTCTGCAATATCGACAGTCACCAGTAACTTAATCAACCTCCCACCTTAACTGCCAAAATTACTAATCATGACGTTAGAAACGAATTTGAACACCTTCCCTATTTTCAACCCCACATCAGAAGTAAGCCAGTTCAATGGAACATGGTGAACTTGAACCCACAGTCTTAGTTCATTAAAACAATTATCATTACTGTGTAAACCTTCTTTCCAAGCTTTCAATATGAGATATTGGTTATCAAAAATCCAATTTTCCCCTCTTGCTACCCCCTTCATATCATCCTCGTTCTCAAAGATAAACTAAAAGAAATTCTTACCGAGTTCACGGACCTCTAATGAGAATTTCGGTTTCCAGATAAGTCTCGTCCCTTCTTCACACCCAGCAGATTACCTCGTTTATCATCTACCAACTTCCCAAATAGACTCTTGCGGCATTTATCGATGTAAGATTTCACATCTTCATTTTCGATATCGATATTCCAATTCTCCATCGTTGACAACGAGAAAGCCCTCAAACGTTGTTCGACTTCTTCGAACATATTAAGCGAACTCCTTTCTTCCATAAAGCCCTGGAATAATAGTACTAAATTTTTCACCGCGCAAATCAAACGCCAACACATCACCACTTGAGAACAAACACTATTTCAATTGCAACGACGAAAACAAAAACTCTCCGACGAGAAAAGAAACTCCCCTGATGAGAAAAGAAGCTCTCCTTACGAGAGAACGATTTTTAGTTTGAGAGTCTGTACTAAGTTATGATCTCAAATTGCATAAATTAAAATTATTTTTTTAAAATATATATATATATATGGCAGATGAATCATGACTGTGGAACAAAATCTTTTTGATATTGCTTACACTATAAATAGAAAAGTAATTACTAATTACATTCTTATTACGTTATATAACAAATAGATGTTCGATGATGATTCCTAATGAACGATTATAAAAAAGAAAAAATGGTTTTGTCATGGAGCCATCGGATAACACGACTTATGGAGTCGTTCACACTTATTCATAAATAGTGTATTGACACGTATCCTACCATAATTACACTTTAAACAAGTGTCAATACATTAAGTGATTGATAACTCCATAAGAAAACTATCTGATGGCTCCATAGAATTTTTGTATAAATAAAATGGGTTTAAAACTGATATCTTGTAATATATTTTGCAAATAATTCACTAAAAATTAAATTTGAGTAGAAATAAAACGAAGATAAAAAATAAAATATAATAATAACTAAAAAAGAAAGCCAAAGTGGCGATTGGTGAAAATTGAACCCAACCCCACAAAAAATCCAAATTTCCGCCATTGAAACATCTCAGTGCCATACAATTCAACACTCCCTCTCTGCAAATAAATTCCATAAATTTAGCGAGAAAAAAAAAAAAAAAAAATCATTTTTAGAGCAAAAAATAAAATAAATTTGAAAAATGTCAGCAGCCCCTTCGGCTTCATCTTCTTGCCTCAACACTCCATTTATCCACCGCCCACTCAAGCTTTCTTCCCCATTTCCTTTTCCGAGAAAATCCCTGAAAAATTCACGATCTCCAGCTTCGTATCCATGCGTCAGGGCTGTTGACCTCGATCAGAACACGGTAAATCTTAACTTTTTTTTGTCTGATTTATTTGTATCTGTTAAGGTTTTGTTTGTTTTTCTTGATTTTTTTTGGGTGATAATGTGTGTTGATGTTGTTTTCAGATAGTGGCGATCACAGTCGGGATTGCGAGCGTTGCACTTGGGATAGGGATTCCTGTTTTCTATGAAAATCAGATCGACAGTGCTGTGTGTTATCCCCTTCTTTCAATTTTTTCAATTTTTAGGGTTTTTGCAGTGAAATTAAAAGGGTTTTGTGTTATTTGCAATGAGCTATGAAATTATGGAAGTTTAATTGTTTCAGGCCAAAAGGGATAATACTCAGCCATGCTTCCCCTGCAGTGGCAGTGGCGCTCGTAAGTTAATATTGTCTTCTTGTTGTTGTTGTTGTTGTTGTTGTTGTTGTTGACGACGATGATGATTATGTGCCATGGATAATGTAATTGCCAAGAATTCGCCTAATGACAAAAATAGCTGATTTTGAATACATACAGTTCCAAAAATTTCTGAATTAGTCGGGTGGTGCACCTATGATGCAAAAAGATTAAGAAATAACACGGGCTCGGGCACAAGTATTCGATATGGGAAAATGCTAGTCAATTTTATTGGCATCACTATTATGCAGATTCGTGCATGTCGCTATGATTGTGAAGTAAAATCATTTTATGACACAAGTGAAAATAAATACTTTCATATTAATGGAGATAAAGTGTGTGTAGCTAATGAAGTAACATTTTCAGGCACTGATGAAACTTGGATTAGTTTGTTCATCTATTTTTAACTTCAAATGTGTTTTTCACTTAGTACTGTTTTATAACTTGGGATGAGTTAGGAGTTTGTTCTCTAGTCTGGCTATGCTCTACTGTAGCAATTAGACATCTTTCAAACTTAATGCTTGCTTTCACTTCCGTAAAATAAAAATATTTTGTCACTTGAAAGGTGTGTTCGCCTTTTTTGCTTCCACAGTAATGCTGTCCAAAAAAAGTTGATAATGGTGCAAATGGAAAGTTAACAAAAAATCTCTCACGAGCTTAAGTTTTTTTTTGAGCGGGACCATTAATCACAATAATCCATTTCTTATACATACACCCGGTTAAAAGATTGCCTTTAGGAATTTTTTAAAATTAAAAATTTCTGTAGAGAAATGTAGATTTTGCTTGGGTACGGGGAATGTGACTGTTGAGCTAGGTGGGGGCGAAAAAGAAGTCTCGAGATGCATAAACTGTGACGGGAATGGTTCTTTGACGTGCACTACTTGCCAAGGGAGTGGCATCCAACCTCGTTACCTTGACCGAAGGTCAGTCAAGTTTGATTGTATTCGATTCTATATATCTATCTCAACTTACATTATGAACCCACATGAGTCGTTGAATCAATGCAAAAAGTGGACTACTATGTATATTCTTGAGTTCTTTTACTGTCTTCTTACTTTTTGTTTTGCCCATTATCATTTTTATGGTAAACCAGAGAATTCAAGGATGATGACTAAAATCCTATAGAGAACATGTGACCACATATGGAAGAACGGCCCCCAATGATGTCTGATTTTCGGCAAGTACACATTTTTCTTTATGCGAAAAACCTATTTGGATGCATTTTCTATCCTTGTAACTACGTCGTTACTAAATCCAATTGTTTGTTAACCTGAAAATAGATGAGATGTAATAATTGATGCGTTTTACGAGTCTTTCTAATGAAATGTGGTTTGGGTGGATTTATGGATCTGCAGATCAAGAGTGTTTTATGATGAGCTTTGAAATGGGAGTTGAGCAATAACATGAATGTATTGCCTTGCCTCTAGATATGGAACTTTTAGTTTCATTTGGTTAGTAGTTTTTTGTCCCCTCAAGATGCTTGTGGTTATTTTTCAGATAATATAATATGCTATTCACTGGCCTTTACCTTTTCCTTCCTGTTACGAATCTTGAGTATATTTGGTAAGCATATAAGTTAGCTTATAGCTTATCAGATTAGCTGATAAGCTTCTTCTATTCAAATGAGTTTGGTTTGGTAGGATGAGTTTTTTTTTTTTTTTTTTTTTTTTTTTNNNTTTTTTTGTTTTTAAGTTCGAGCTTATCTCATTAGCTTAACTTTTTAAATAAGTCAGTTAAAACTTTTATTTCAGCTAAATTATCAACTAATTTTACCAAACACTTTTATCATATAAGCTAGTTTTTCGGCCATAAGTCATAAGCTATTAGTTATAAGTTTGAAATTCACTTAAAAATTATAAACTATCTTATCAGCTAGGTTTACCAAACACAATCTTAGTCATTTTAGAGAATGTGGGTTTAACTACATGTATTTTTCCAACATATATTTGTTAGCTTGTAATTAGGTATAATAACCTTTATTTTGTGTGAACTTTCATAGCTAAAAAAATGATTGAAATATTAAACCTGCCCGCTGCGCTTTTGTATGTCGTTTGTCGGCTTGTTACTGCACTTTTGTATGTCGTTTGTCGGCTCGTTACTTACGATGATTTATCCTGAAATATATTGAGGGGTATTATAGGCAGAGGAAACAAACAAAATAAGTGGTCATTCATTATTTTTTGAACAAATAGTTGACAAGAAATTAGCTCTTGAATTCGATGGTGCCTAATATGTGATTGGGAGTGAGTTGGAACTTCAATGTAAGATTTTAGTGATATGCATGTTCGATCTTTTATCTGAATAAATTATTATGAAATAATTATTTCTGAATGTAATGTTTGGAAATATATGACAAGCTAATTTTGTATTAATTTGTATTAATAGAAAATTTGATATCTTCAATTTCATAGTCGATATCATATAATGTGTCATAAAATGAAGACTGGACTAAACTGACACATAATTAAAAAGTTAATGCATATATTGTGAAATTCTAATAATAATAATGGACAATTTTTTTTATTTTAACAGAAACGATAGTAGTTTATAGACATAACAAAGTGGTATACAGGGAGACGTGTCTTTCAACTTGTAAGGTAGAAAACATCTGACAAACGAATATTATTAATATGAAGTTGAGGAAAAAATATATCGTCGACAGCAGGGTTCGAACCTGCGCGGGCGGAGCCCAACAGATTTCAAGTCTGTCTCCTTAACCACTCGGACATATCGACCAGTTACCTTTAGTGGAACAAGATAAATTAAAAGTAATAACGACAAATCAAATTAAAAAGTGTTCTTAAAAGGGAAAAACTTAGAATAACTTGTGTTTGGTTATTAGACCACTTTTATTGGTGACCTTCAAGAGTGGGTCACCAATTTATAACATTAAAAAAATAAAAAAATAGAAAGAAAAGGGTCATGGTTGTTCAACCGAGGTCACATTGTGACATAAGGTTGCAATCTTGGTTGGTGTTAAAATGGGACACATGTCCCCTTTAGATTGGCTAAAAATAATTTATATGTTTAAAATAAAAATAAAAAATAAATACTACAATTTATATTTTTTTATTATCTACAAAAAGAGACTACACTTGATATATTTTGAAATACAATTGTATTTTTCAGATAAACTAAAATAAAATAAATATTTGAGTTGAGTTGGGTTGGGGATAAAAATAAATTTAGTTGTAAGGTTAAGTTGTGTAAGTAGTGGAGAGAAAAATATTTTTTTAATGTTAGGTTAGGTTGGGGATAAAGATAGTCTTAGTCCTAGTTGTAAACGATACGACTTTTTTTTTTTCCTTCGTAAAACGATATATAACATTTCACTCAAAAAAAATAGAAAAGTACAAAATAAGATAAAGTTACCTAGTGAACTATACATTACCATCTTTATTGCATAATTATAAGCCATGTATAACTCATTGCAACAACTACCAAATAATTACACGATAATTATGGTAATAACAATTTTAAAAGAAGTTAATATCTGACCCAAAACTGAATCTTCATATCAACGAAAATAACTTACAGTCATTCTTATGCATCTCTAATCTTCTTCATTCTTTTTCTTCTTTGTTCTCCATTTTTTTAATTGAATTGTTGTGAAGTAGCAAAAAATTTATGGGGGGGAGGAGGAACCACGGTGGCGGCAACGCTAATGTTCGTGGCGGCCATGTCGCTAAGGTATGCAGGAACGGCGAGGAAGAGGAGGAGAATTGGCGTCTCCGGCACGCATGCATGATTGAGAAGTGGATGGAGAAGAAATCCGACAAGAAGATCTCCACCCGTAGGGGATCTGTACCCGATTTGCAAATGAAGAATCTCTAGAGATCTAGTCGGACGCCGTTGCGGTAGATTCTTTTTTTCGATCCCTGAGGTTGTTTTTTAAAGAGACAACTATGGACTCGGGAGGTTGCTTTTTCATGCATCTAACAGTGATGCAACATAATGAAACAATCTTCTTTGTTTATGTTCAAATGCATATCTCCTATATAAATCATACGATGTCATTCTGTGGGCCGGTTGTGCTTAACACAACCGACAAACTCCTAGTATTGTATTTCATATATGCATTCCCTTTAAATACCAACCTAGCCCACACTATAATGAGGTTTAGTAGCTGTTGACCAAGCTTGTGCTACTAGACATACACATTATACCAAGCTTGTGCCTCTTTTTTGCTGATGACTCCCTTATTTTTTGCCAAGCTGATTTATCTCATGCTACTATTCTGTTGAATATTCTTAAAGCTTATTGTGCTGCTTCAGGTCAGTTAGTTAATATGCATAAATCCAGCATCTTTTTTTCAGCCAATACCCCTATGCCCACAAAAAATGCCATCTGTAATATGCTTAATGAGATCATTATGGCCAGATCCTCGAAGT